CTTCTGTGGCAATAAGTTCAAGGCTCTTCCGCACTTTCTCTTCTACCAGGTTCAATGTATCTGGTTTTTATGTTGAGGTCTTTGATCCATTTGGAGTTAAGTTTTGTGGAAGGTGATAAGTATGGCTCTATTTGTATTCTTCTATGTGAAGATAACTAATTTAACTAGCGCCATTCACTGAAGATGCTGTCTTCTTTTTTCCAGTATGTGTTCCTTATCAAAAATCAGGTGTCCATAGATTTGTGTCTGGTTTTTCAATTCGGTTCCATTGATCCAAGTGTCTGTTTTTATGACAATACCATGATCCTTCTATTACTATTGCTTTGTAGTTCAACATGAAATTGGGAATGGTGAGACCTTCAGCAGTTCTTTTATTATTCAGAATAGTTTTAGCTATCCTGGGGGTTTTGTTTGTTTGTTTGCTTGCTTGCTTGCTTGCTTGCTTGTTTTTCCATGTGAAGCTGAGGATTGTCCTTCCAAGATCTCTGAAGAACTATGTTGACATTTTGATGGGGATTATATTGAAGATGCAGATTGCTTTTGATAGGATGGCCAATTTTACTATGTTAATCCGACTGATCCATGAGTATGGGAGATCTTTCCATCTTATATCTTCTTCAGATTCTTTCTTCAAAGTCTTTGAGTTTTTATTATACAAACCTTTCACTTACTTGGTTAGAGTTACTCCAAGATATATTATTTGAGGCCATTGTAAAAGATGTTGTTTCCCTGATTATTTTCCCAGTCCATTTGTCATCTGTATATAGGAGGACTACTGATTTTTGTGAATTAATTTTGTATACAGCAACTTTGCTGAAAGTGTTTATCAGCTGTAGGAGTTCCTTGGTAAAATTTTTAGGATCACTTATGTATACTATCTTATCATCTACAAATAAACTTTTGCATAATGACACTAATTTATATGTAGTATAAAGCTACTACTAGTATTTTTTTTAAGATCTTATTTATTATGTATACAGTGTTCTGCCTACATGCCAGCAGAGGGCACCAGATCTCATTCAAGGTGGTTGTGAGCCACCATGTGGTTGCCAGGAATTGAACTCAGGACCTCTGGAAGAACAGTCAGTGCTCTTAACCTCTGAGCCATCTCTCCAGCCCATCTTTTTTCTTACTTCATTGTAAGGTATATAATTAATGTCCTCTCTATAATTCTTGATAGTTTCAACTATGACTTCTCTTATTATTTTTACACCCACCTTGGTCTGTCTGTCCAGGAATGTATCCATTTTATCAGTGTAGCCATTGTTAGCAATCATCATGTGTTATATTCCTTTTAAATAGCTTTCCTTACATACGTAAACATAATAAAAGCAATATATAGCAAGCCAACAGCCAACATCACACTAAATGGAGAAAAACTCAACATGATTCCTCTAAAATCAGGGACACGATAAGGTTGTCCATTCTCTCCATACCTCTTTAATATTGTCCTTGAAGTTCTAGCTAGAGCAGTAAGACAACAAAAGGAGATCAGAGGGATACAAATTGGAAAGGAAGAATTCAAACTTTCACTATTTGCAGATGATATGATAGTTTACATAAGTGACCGGAAAAACTATACCAGGGAACTCCTAAACCTGATAAACACCTTCAGCAAAGTGGTAGGATACAAAATTAACTCAAAAAAATCAGTAGCCCTACTATACACAGATGATAAACACACTGAGAAAGAAATCAGAGAAACATCACCCTTTACAATTGCCACGAACCACAAAAAATACCTTGGAGTAACACTAAGCAAAAAAGTGAAAGACCTGTACCCTAAGAATTTTGAGCCATTAAGGAAAGAAATTAAAGAAGACAACAGAAAATGGAAGGATCTCCCATGTTCTTGAATTGATAGGATCAACAAAGTAAAAATGGCAATCTTGCCAAAAGCAATCTACAGATTCAATGCAGTCCCCATGAAAATCCCAGCACAATTATTCACAGACCTTGAAAGAACAATTTTCAACTTTATATAGAAAACCAAAGGACCCAGATAGTCAAAAGAGCCCTGTAAAATAAAGAAACTTCCGGAGGCATCACCATCCCTGATTTCAAGCTCTATTATAGAGCCATAGTCCTGAAAACAGCTTGGTATTGGCACAAAAATAGACAGGTAGATCAAGGGAATCAATTGAGAACCCTGATATTAACCCACACAGCTATGAACACCTGATTTTTGACAAAGAAGCTAGAATTATACAATGGAAAAAAACATAGCATCTTCAACATATGGTGCCTGCATAACTGAATGCTGGTGTGTAGAAGACTGAAGATAGATCCATATCTATCACCATGTACAAAACTTAAGTCCAAATGGATCAAAGACCTCAAAATAAATCCAACCACACTGAACCTCTTAGAAGAGAAGGTAGGTGGCACCCTCGAATGAATTGGCACAGGAGACAACTTCCTGAAGATAACACCAATAGCACAGACACTGAGATCGACAATTAATAAATAGGACCTCCTGAAATGGAGAAGCTTCTGTAAGGCAAAAGACACAGTCAACAAAACAGAACGGCAGCCCACAGAATGGGAAAATATATTCACTAACCCCATATTTGACAGAGGGCTGATTTCCAAAATATACAAAGAACTCAAGAAGCTATTCTCCAAAACACCAAACAATACAATTAAAAAATGGAGTACAGAACTAAATAGACAATTCTCAATAGATGAATCTAAAATGGCTGAAAGACACATAAGAAAGTGCTCAACTTCCTTAGCCATCAGGGAAATGCAAATCAAAGTAACTCTGAGATACTATCTTATTCCTTTCAGAATGGCTAAAATCAAAAACACCAAGGACAGTTTATGCTGGAGAGGGAATGGAGAAAGGGGAACACTCCTCCACTGCTGGTGGGAGTGCCAACTCGTACAGCCACTTTGGAAAACAGTATGGCAGTTCCTAGGGAAAATGGGAATCAATCTACCATAAGATCCAACAATTCCACTCTTAGGCATATACCCAAAAGATGCACATTCATACAACAAGGACATCTGTTCAACCATGTTCATAGCAGCTTATTTGTAATAGCCAGAACATGGAAGCAACCTAGATGCCCCTCAACTGAAGAATGGATGGAGAAAATGTGGTACATTTACACAATGGAGTACTACTCAGTGGGAAAAAAAAAAAAAACAATGGAATCTTGAAATTCACAAGCAAATGGATGGAACTAGAAGAAACCATCCTGAGTGAGGTAATCCAGTTGCAAAAAAATGCTGTGTACTCACTCATATATGGATTTTAGACATAGAGCAAAGAAGTAGCAGCCTACAATCCACACCGACAGAGAAGCTAGGAAATAAGAAAGATCCTAAGAGAAACATACATGGTCCCCCAAAGAAGGGGAAAGGGACAAGATCTCCTAAGCTAATGGGGAGCATAGGGGAAGGGAGAGGGAGTTAGAAGAGAAGGGGAGAACAGGAGGGGTGAGGAGGACATTAAGAGCAGGAAGATTTAGTCAGGGGAAGAATAGAAGAGAGCAAGAAAAGAGATACCATCATAGAGGGAGCCATTATAGGTTTAAAGAGAAATCTGGCACTAGGGAAATGGCCAGAGATCTACAAGGTTGACCCCAACTAACAATCTAAGCAACAGTCTAGAGGCTACCTTAAATGCCCTTCTCCGATAATGAGATTGATGACTACCTTATATGCCATCCTAAAGCCTTCATCCAGTAGCTGATGGAAGCAGATGCAGACACCCACAGCTAAACATTGAGCTGAACTCTGGCATCCAGTTGCAAAGAGGGAGGAGTCATGAGCAAAGGGGTCAGGACCAGACTGGAGAAACCCACAAGGACAGCTGACCTGAACAAGTGGTTGCTTATGGATCCCACACTGATAGCTGGGAAACCAGCATAGGACTATTCCAGACCCCCTGAGGGAGGATGTCAGTTTGGAGGTCTGAGCAATCTATGGGGCCTCTGGTATTGGATCAGTATTTATCCCTAGTATACGAATGGACTTTGGGAGCCCTCTCCTGGTTGCTTATGGATCCCACACTGATAGCTGGGAAACCAGCATAGGACTATTCCAGACCCCCTGAGGGAGGATGTCAGTTTGGAGGTCTGAGCAATCTATGGGGCCTCTGGTATTGGATCAGTATTTATCCCTAGTATACGAATGGACTTTGGGAGCCCTCTCCATATAAAAGGATACTCTCTCAGCCTAGACACATGGGGGAGGGTCTAGACCCTGCTCCAAATGATATATGACAGACTTTGATGATCTCTCATGAAAGGCCTCACCCTCCCTGGGGAACAGAAAGGGGTTGGGATGGAGGGGGGCAGGGGAGGAGGGGAGGGAAGGGAGAGGGAACTAGGATTAATATGTAAAAGAAGCTTGTTTCTAATAATAATAAAAAAACATGTATTTCCGAGAAAAATCTTTCCTTGTATTTCATTTACATATTTAAACTCACTGTTTTCTGTTGTTATGCTCTTTTATGGATAAACTGAGACTGATATATATTAGGAAAATTGCCTGTAATCCAGTATAGGATTCTAATCAAGTTTAGCTGGCTCCAAAATTATTTTTAATCACTTTTAATGACTATTGAGTCAATAAAGGGTGAGTCAGAATTCAGCAATATATAGAAGGGACTGTTACATCTCCTGTATTGTGACTGGCAATGTATTTACCATTTCCCTTGACATTAACAACTGATTGCTGTCATTGCATCCAGTTCTATAAGAGCATGAGGTACTATTGGATACTCCCAAAAGATCCGATGTCCATAGTCAGGGCACCCATAAGGACTCTGAGAAAATTTTAGAGACTTTTAGTTGCCACAAAATACTAACACATTGGATTATTTACAGCACATAGCACTCCTGGCGTCTTCTAGTACCTAGAAATGGGCTTAGCATCCTTGTGCTATCCATTTTGAATGCAAATGAGAGCCTTGACTGTGTTTTTTGCTTTCACAGATAAGAGATACACTTTTGAAGCTAAAAGTTAACATAGCTGCCTTGTTTCCTCAGGTCTGACAGTAACAGCTGTGAAAGACTCAGGAGAATGGAATTTGGAGGCTGGGGCCTTGGTGCTTGCAGATGCTGGGCTTTGCTGTATTGACGAATTTAACAGCCTCAAAGAGCATGACAGAACCAGTATCCATGAAGCAATGGAGCAACAAACCATAAGTGTCGCTAAGGCTGGGTAAGAATTTCTGGCTTCCTAAAGTCTATGGAAAGACTGTTGAGTATAAATTCAAGAAAATGGGAACCTTGTTGTTACACTCAGGAGTGATGTTTATCAGTTTTCACTTTCCAAGTACAAGGTTTTTGTTACTAGAATATAGAAGTGAATAAGGAAATAAAATGAATTATTGAGATAAAGAAATGTTAAGAATAAAGTATAAAAGTAGACTTTCTTCTTATACTTTTTTCTGTGTCTGTTATGGCAGGAAGTGTGGTACAAGGCAGGTGGCAGGCATGACACTAGAACAGTGGCTAAGAGTTTACATCCTCATCCTTAGGCAGCAGGCAGAAAGAGAGCAAGACTGGGCCTGGAGTGAACTTTTGAAACCTCAAAGCCCTCCCCAGTGACACACATCCTCCATCCAGGCCACACCTCCTAATCCTTCCTAAAAGTGACACACCTCCTCCATCAAGGCCACACCTCCTAATACTTCCTAAACTGTCCACCCCTTGGCTTATAGGGCTGCCTCCTTCAAAGCACCACGTGGACTGATTTAGCTCAGGAGGAGCTATTTATAGCTCTCTTTCAACGCAGGACTCAACTTATTCTTTCCATAGAAATTGTGTATGTACTCAAGGCATATCGATTATTAGATTCATGAGATAAATCTAATGAGCTATCTTCTAAGATAATAGCTAAAAGTTGTAAAGCATTAGAAACATGCTTTGTTTCACTTGAAGGTAATACTGTTATGATGTAAAATTTCCCCAACCAGTCTGAAGGCTCCAGGCTGTTCCAGTCAGAATTCTAAGTAGGAGTTTCTTTTATGTGTAAGTTGATTGGCTGCTTTTACAAGGGAAGAAAGGCACAGAAGCTAAACTTACCAAAACTAATTTGAAAAGGATTAATATGGAGAACCATATGACCCAGCTATACCTTTCTTGGGTTATACTTAGAAGAGTCACATACAATGAAGATACTTAACACACCGTATTTGTTACTGCACTACTCACAGTCTTTAGAAATGGAAGTCCATCAATGATGAATGAATGAAGACAATGTGCTACATATACACAATGGAATTATATTGACCCATAATGAAAAATGAATTTTTATAGGAAATTGAATTGAACTGTAAATCATTGTGTTAAGCAAAATAAACTAGACTGGCAGTCAAATACCACATGTTTTCAGTTATGTGGGAAGGGAAGAAGAAATCTTACCAGAGTAGGAAGGAAGAGAAAAGAGGGGAATGGAAAACATGTGACATGAAAGTAGAGAGAACTGTTGTAGAGGAAGGAAGTGGGCCAGAGAGGTATGGCAAGGCATTGAGGGAAGGGAACATTTAGATCAAAGTGTAATTGATAATATGTTTGAAAATAATGAAACCCATGACTTTTGTGTGTTAGCTTAAAACTAATCTTAAAAGAAATTTATGTAAATGAAATAAATATGCTTGAAGACTTTGATATCCACATGCAAAAAAGGACCATAACAAGCATGGTTTATAACATCAAATATGGACATAATTCCATCCACATATGAAATTCTAGAAAAGGAGAGATCAAGTCAGTATTTGCTGGTGGTTACAGAAAGACATCTTAAAGGGATGATGTTCTAGTGTTGTGTAAATTATATCACAGTACTTCTTACTTCTAAAAACATGGAAACTCAAGTGTTTGGATTGTTGCTGAGGGTTCTGAACACTTCTTCCTGGCTGCTGTCTGTGTGTGAACATAATTCGCAGCTTCTCTTTGGGCTTTGTCAGTAAACCTACCTAGAAAAAATGCCATATAAGAAGAGATTGAAGGACATTGAAGGAAGTAACGGTGCCTGAGTCACTTGGGAGACTTATCTGCAATTGCCCTTTTGTAACTGAAATAATGCCGCCCAAAGGAAATATTTTGAAGAATAATTTTCAGATTGGATTTCCTTGTCTGAGAAGAAAAGGACTCATCTTAGAGTATGAGAACCTGTTGTTGCTACTTTTGGGCAGGTTTTCATTGTTTCCTCTGTGAACTGTCTAACAAATACTTTATATGTACTACACAGTTTGCCACACCTTGGGCACAGTGATTATGGTCACTACACAAAACATTTGTATTTTGTTAAAAGTAAAATGCCACGTATGTTTCTGCTTTGCCTTGACCTTCTACCCAGTGTTAATACTTCCTTGAATGGAGGCACTCACCACAATTAGTATCTTTGCCTTCTGACCTTTTCACATTTATTTAAGAAATTTTTTACTTTGCAAAGCAATTCAACATATTTATTTCATTTAAAAAGTATTGTAGGGATTGGAGAGATGGCTCAGTGGTTAAAAGCATTGGCTGCTCTTCCAGTTTTGATTCCCAGCACCTATGTGGTGGCTCACAACTGTCTGTAACCCCAGTCCCGGGGGATCCAAAGCCCTTTTCTGCCTGGCCTCCAAGGCATCAGGCATATAGGTGCTATAAAGACAAACATGCAGGCAAAACACCCACATACACAAAATAATTTTAAAAATTTAAAGATTGTATTTAAGAATTTACTACATTCAAGGAATGATAGTTCAAGTATCATTGCTCTCTAGTTATTACAGCCAAATTGGGTCTTATTCACTCTTCTTGTGTTGATATTGTTAAAATTCTGCCCCCCCATAACTATTCCTGGATTCATAAGGACTTTATACTATTTTACTATTAGCATTAGATTTCTTCATATTGAAAAAGATTCTTTATCAATTTAGTAAAGATAATTGTAATCACATTATGATAACAAAGCTGGAATTACTGTGTTCTCTGAATTTAGTAACTTTTCCAGTCTATTTTCTGTGATGGAAGGGGGCCACATATTGACATGCATCCAAGAGCATAATCTTGATATTGGTTTTGATTCTGAGCATTGTGTTTATAGTGCATACTGACCTGAAATTCTCAGCTAGGCTAAGCATTTCTCATTCCTTAAAATTTTAAATTTCATTTAAAAACAGAACAGTTGTTGCAGTGTGGGTTTAATCTCTTTGGCCATGAACCATTAGATACTAGATCTCACATTTTCCAAATCGAGGAATGGCTTGAAATAAAAACTCCCAAGAAGAGCAGATGCTTCCAAGAGGCCAAACACCTTCCTCCCACATTAATTCTCTTTAAATTTTCTACAAAATTGCTGCCTCTTTCATCACTCAGAAGCAAACAATGCTCAACATGGACAACAGCAATGAATAACCCTTATTTAGAATAAAGCATATCTGAATTGTAGATACACTATAGAAAAGTCAAAATGGGTACAATAGAGAGTAAGTTCCTGCCTCAAAGACAAATGGCATCGATGGTGACCTAATAGGTTTTTGACCTTGTGGACAAGCCTATCTTTCTTTAGTCTCTTACTCTGTAAAATGAATGCCACTGCCTTTCATTCCAAGATCTTCATTTGTTGTTGTTTTCATTCCTTTTGTTTGTTTGTCTTGTTTTTTTCCAAGATAGGGTTGCTCTGTGACTATCCAGACTCTATCTGACTATCCAGAACTCACTCCATAGACCAGGCGAGCCTCAAGAGCTAAGAGATCCACCTGTCCCTACCTCCCAAGTGCTGGGATTAACGGTGTGTGTAGTGATAAGCCTTTCCGCCAAGCTGCCCGAGCCCTGCTTGTGTGGGGGTGCTTTCTGCCAGGCTGCCCAAGTTCTGCCAGCCACCACATTAAGGTCCCAAGTAACACACAGACAATGAGGCAGCAAGTTAGGCAGGACTAGGAGTCAAGGAGGATTCTGGGAAATGTATTAAAGAAGTGGTGATCTAGGCAGGAAGTGACATAGCAGGGAGCATAAGCAAGGGCAAGAAGGAAGTCCTTCCCTTTTCTCTTCTTCCTGCTCTCTGCTCTGGAGTTGCCATGTGATCCGCTGGCAAGAGTGGGCGCTAGCGGGAGGCGTCCTCAATAAGAAGCTGGCATCCCATAAGATAAGTCTTATGATTATGGATGATAATTAAAACTGAGCTAGCAGATGAGAAATCCTAGTCATTGGCCAGGTATGCACCATTACCATCAACTGTTTTTCTTTTTTAATATTTTGTGACTAATATAATTATGCCAGTTCCCTCTTCCCTTTCTTCCCTGCAAACCCTTCATGTACACACATGCTCCTGTTCTCTAAATTCATGGCCTTGTTTTTCATTAATTGTTGTTATACACATACATGCACATACATACATACATACATACATACATACATACACACACACACACACACACACACACACACACACCTAAATGCATAAATACAATCTGCTTACTCTGTATGTTATTTCTATGTAAGTGTTTTCAGAGCTGACCATTTGATAGTAGATAAGTGATTGGTGTGCTCTTCCTGGGAGAAGAACATATCTCCCGCTCTCAACATTCCTTAATTGCCAATAGTTCTTTGTCGAGGCATGAGGCCTCCTGAGCTTTTCCCTTTCATGTTAGCATGTCTGTTGGTGTAGCTACTTCTAGCTCTGAGTTCTTCTTAACTTAAAGTATGTAGATGTCAACTTCTTGGCTCAGTGCCTGCTGCACAATCAGTAGATAGAATCTATCACTATTTAAATATACTGTTTTATTACTGTGACTACATAGACACAGCATAAAAACTTACTTTAATCCCAGTACTCGAGGCAGAGGCAGTTGGATCTCTGTGAGTTCAAGGCCAGCCTGGTCTACAGAGCAAGTTCCAGGATAGGCTCCAAAGCTACACAGAGAAAGCCTGTCTTGGAAAAGCAAAACAAAACTAAACTAAAACTTCCCATCTCAACCATCTTTAAGTGTATAGCTCATTCATGCTAAGTACCTTCACATTGTTAGGCACTGCTTTGACATCTAGCCAATATGCTCTTGTTCTAGATGGGAGGATACTTAATGAATCTTCAAAATTATTTTAAGTGTGTATGTGAAGGTGTTTATAGTATTCTCCATATTTCTGCCCCAGTTGAGTCTCCAAAATAGCTTCATGGTAATTACATCAACATCATTCTACTAATAAATAAAGAAAAATGATGTTCAGGCT